TTGGGAGTCATTTCCCACTGTACTCCCAGTGTATGATGTCATTTGGGGGTCATACATTAAATATTTCAGTGGAGAAAACAGGTAAGAAATAGTCAGCAGTATAGCAAAAATCCTTACAGACACGCACCAAGGCAAGACACGGAGAGCCGGACCTGTGGGAAAGGCTTAAAGGGCTCTAGACTGGCCATAGGAGGATGGACGGAACTAAGGAACTTCAGATAAGGAGAGGTAAGCAGGCTTCTCCAAAATAAACTTCACACTTATGTCCTGGTCAGGTGGTACCTAGCTAGCCAGGCTTCTAAAGCACAGAGACTTACTTCCTTGTGACTGAGAGAATGCAGGGACTTAGAAAAGCTCTGTGAATTCCATTTTGGTGCTCATTCTGTGTCATCGTGGTGGCAGCATCAGGAGGCACTTAGGGACTGCAGTGCCATTGTCCCAGGAGCAAAGCTTGGAGTGGAAAATCTGTTTGGTGTGCTGTGAACCTCTCAGCCCAGCACTGACCTTTGAACCCATTTTCCTTCCCCTGGAAGTAATGGAAAACTTCCTCCCACTTCCCTGCAGTAGAAGCTTCTCCCCCACGTCTTGATCATCAGCATCCAGGAAGGGTCAAAAGATGACCCTATGACTCAAGAGCAGGCAGGCCCATCCCCATTAAAGGCGGGATGGAAGTGGGGAGGACTCTCCTGAGATGAACCTCTCTCACAGCCCAATGCTCCTATTTCTCTACAGGGAGCAGACAATGGAATCTTATTAGAAATCTAACACAATAAAGAAATGCAGATCTTAAGGGTGGATGTGGTGTGCAAATCAAATTAACTTCATTACTTTATTCTGCACCTCACAGTGCTTCTGCCAGTGGACAATTCCATTAGATCACTGGGGCGATCACAAAGAACTCCCTGGAAATTCATTGTCTAGAGCCAGACTAGGGGGCAAGGGAGTCCTGAAGGAGCAGGCAGGAGCAAATTGTGTTGACCCAAGACATAAATTCGTGGTATCTATCTATCCACATTCATGCTAGGCCTTTTTTCCCCCAAGCTCCCAGGTCAATGTTTTGTTTTATGTCAGCTGTGCAGACAGGACTGGGAAGAAAATAAACACTGGGGCATGGCAGTGGAGACTCAGTTAACTTTTAGAACCTTGCTTCTTACAATGTCTACATTTCACAAAGCCCCTAGAGTTGTTTAAGCATGTGCGCACACACACAGCACTCCTTTGCTGGAAGGATTCTGGGTTTCATGTGAATTCCTTATATAGAGAGAAACACAACGTTTAGAAGGGAAAATGTAAACATCTAATTATGGGTATGAGTACGTTTTTACAAGAGAAAAAGAAAGTTGAGTCACAGGTGATGGGTTCTGAGAAACTGAAAAGCAAGACAGCAAAACGAGCTAATAGAACTCAACACGTACCACGTGCACCAGCAGCTGAGTGAGTTACAAGGCATTACAGTTTGGCTCATGAGTGTATTGATGGGTTGGCTCTTAGGCTGTTGCACTACTGGGAGGTGGTAGGGTCCAGTTGGGTGTGTTGACATCTTGACCCAACATAGAATCACCCTGGAAGATGGTCTTCATTAGGGGTTGTCCTAGGGCATGTCTGCTGAGGGAATATCATAACTTAATTGATATGAGAGTACCCAGCCCACTGCGAGTGACAGCATTCCCTGGCAAGGAATCTTGAACTGAACTATGTATCAGTGGAGAAATAGACTTGATACCAAGCAAGTGAGCTTCCATTTATGTCTGTTCTTGACTATAAATGTGATGTTTCCAGCAGAAGTCCTGCTTTGATTTCCCTACAGGAATGGACTGTTTGTAAACTGAAAGAAACCTTTCTTCATTCACTAGGTCGTTTTTGGCGAAGATACTTCATCACAGCAGCAGAAATGAAGTTAGAGCAGAGGGGATACCGAGAATACATCCTTCCTCTCTTCCTGCTTTTCAACCACCCTGGGGTGAACAGAGCTTCCTTCCACAGGCTCCTGACAAAATATGCTATACTGCCACAGACCCAAAGCAAAAAGCTCGAGAGATCGGTGCGAGAAATCTATGAGTCAAGCTAAGGCTTTCCCCTTGTTAAACCTTTTCTCTTGGGTATCTGTCACTGCAACAGAAAGCCAACAGATATACCTGAAGTCAAAATAACACACCAGAAAATAAGAAAGTACTTGTTAATTCCCAGAAGTCACATGATGTGGGCAGAACAAAGGGGCACAGGGGCAGCTAAAATAGTATTCAGTGACCAAAGCTTTGCCTTCGTACTTTTAAGCTTTTAATGTTATGTTCTCCTTTCCACTGCCCTTGGCAACTGCACAGAGTTCACGGTCAGTTTATAAGGATTGATTTGTAAGTGAGTGGGCTGCAGGGAACCCCAGATCCGTCATGGTCCCAGCAGGCACTTGAATCAACTACTGTTATCTTGGTAGAGTGGGGTGACCCCAGGAGAGTAATAATTATACATTTAAAAATAATCTATCCCAACAGTATTTTTTTAAAAATCCTTTCATATTTCATAGATTTCTCTCAACCTTTGAGCAACAATGTTGTAACTCAGAATACATATGAAATTTCTACACATCCATCACTCCATACTTATATAGAATTAACTGGTCAAGGGAGGAAAGGTAGAGGAGCTTACACCCTCCATACCTTAAAGGTGGGTGGGACATGGTGACATCCTTCTAGAAGTGCAGTATGAGAAGAGGTCTGATGTGAAATACACCTGTCCTCTTAGTTCTCGGAATCTAAGGTAGGGGGATTGAGAATTCAAGGCCAGTCTGGTAAGACCCTGTCTCCAAAACAACAACAAAAAATATGGAGGGAAAAAAAATCAAGTACACAGCGGAGTGGAAAAACCTGCCAGGCCCTACCTCAGCCAGTTATCTAGGTCCTTATCAATTTTGATACTTCAGAATTTTGGTGTGACCTTGGCATGATAAAAATGGCATTCTACCTCTGTGACCACGCTCCTATAGACCTACAGCTCGAGTCTAATCATGAGGAAAAGAGTTCATCTATTTTAATTGTAGAGCCAAGCACCTGACCAGCACTCCAAAAAAAAACTGTCAAGTTCAAGAGAAATGAGGAATGTTTGAGAAATCGTCACAGCCAGGAGGAACCTCCAGTGGCTGACTCAACAAATGTAATCTAGTGCCCTAGACAGGGCAGGAAATGGGGCACTAGGTAAAGCCAATGGAAATGGAAGTAAAGTGTAGACATTAGCCAACAGGAAGGTAGGGCCAGTGACTCATTAACTGTAGCAAATCATGGTAATATACGAGTAATAGGGAAAGGGGGTACTTAGGTAAAAGGGACAATCTACTATCTTTTTCTTTTTTTTTCCAATAGAACACAAATTGATCTGGATGGCCTGGTTCTACTCTCAAAGAACTTCCAGTAAGTCAAAAAAGATTCAAAATTCTTTATATCTTTTTCCTGTGCTCTTCAAGTGTCCAGAGCACTGTCAAACTGAGCTTAAAGATTTAAAATGCTAGGAAATCATTACTGATGCCATCTGAAATAACTAGTATATGGAGAATGATCAGTTTGATGCAGAGCTAAGTTGTGTTTAAATGTGTAATTAGTGATTACTCCTAACACACACCGAATCAGTGGTGTACAATTCTCCTGGGGTCACCTGCACATCTCGGACTCATTTCATTTCACACATAGAGCACTTTATGTCCATGTGTTTTACCACACTCCACCAGGACAATTATAGAACATCTGGGGGAAGAGCCTCTCTGAAATTTCATTCAATTCACACAGACCATGGACGTAGTGCAACTGCAAAGGGCGACTGGGAAAAGAACATGGTATTTAAAAAAAAAGTACAAATTTAAGACAAAGAATGTCAATATTTACATGACTGATCTCAAGATAGCAGGCATAAATGACAAGTATAATTATTTCTCATGACTATTGGGACTACAACTTTTAAAGCTAGCTTCATGGAGAAAAATGAACTTTGATCAGGCATTGGTGCGATCGTACATGAATAAGGTCGCGAGTAGAACTCGGAAGTTATAGCATAGAGATATGAGAAGAAGTCAAGTCAGGGGGACATAAGGGTTTGAACAGTGGAGGATTCTGTGGACAAACAGGGTTAGCATTGATGGAAGTCACCAAGAATTCTTGATAGTTTTAAAAGCATTTATAATTTGAGGGTCGATACTATTTAGAATTCTTGGGTTGGACCATGTGTAAAATAATGGATTGGCTGTGATAATTTTTTTCTTATAGGACAAACATTTATGAATCAATATATAGCATATCCACCTAAATATACATGTATATAGCACACATATATACAGCTATATGTGTTTCTGGCCTTATGTAAACTATGTAACCCACTCATTGATCAGTGATGGTAGGTACTATTCCATAACATTCAACTAATTATTACCTAACTACTTATTCTAGACACTACTTTGATAGGCAGGGTGTCCGAGTGCATACAGAACATGAGAAAATATTGTGGAACAGTCTATATAAGCAATGTGATTTAAAAATTCATGATTCTGCCAGGTATGGTGGGGTGTGCACTTGGGAGGTAGGAGGAACAAGATCAAGGCCAGTTTCAGATACCTAACGAGTTAGAGACTACCCTGGGCAACATGAGGGCCTATCTCAAAACGAAATAAAAAACCATGATCCCACGTGAGATGTAGTGGTTTATTGATGAAGTTCTACAACAAATGGGTAGAAATGAGAACAGGCATGCATTTGTTTGCTGGTCCATCATTACACATTCCATAAATGCCTGCTCAAACTGAGGAACTATTTCTCTGTGTTCTTTAATATCAAATATCCCATTCTTGTCTTCACACCTCCTATCATAAGGCAAAGTGATTCTCTTATTACTCAATATTCATGGCTTTTCAAAACCTGCTTGAATCTAAGAATATAGACCATTTCTTCTATGGTTTCCTGCTACCATTTATTCAGAGCTGTTCATATCCTCTACATCATGGCACTAAGCATGAATGCTGACCAGTGACCCAAAGGCTGCCACTACACATCACTGAGATGACTAACAAAGGAGTATTTAAAGTACACAGGAAAGGGAAAACAATATTGCTTTTCCTGGTCGTGCTAAGTTTAGCAACCAGAATTGTACACTTAAACAGATATTTCAACTGTAACTGCTCCTGAACCACTGGGCTGTAATTTATACATTTCCAAAATGCCACCCTTCATCCTGGGCCCCATCCCTGCCTTCCTTAGGAGTACCTAATGAGCACTGCCGAGGACAGTCCCATTCCCATAACAAACACCTGTCCCTTTCCTTTGTTTTCTTAGCCCAAGTTCAGAAATTTTATTTTGTTAAAACAATTTGGTATCTTAAGCATTACTGAGCCAACGGGACATCAGAATAATAGTTGTCTAAAGTTAAAGGTACAGTACATTAACAAACAAATGATCCTGAGTCATGAAGTCACAAACACAGAGTAAGATGAGAGTTAATCCAAACTCCAACAATCAGGTCTTCAAGCTGCCTTCTGAATGGGGCTTCTGGATTGTTCCTTTCACCTTTTCTTGTGACTTTTAGCTCCCTGAAAAGTTTCCAGTGAGGAATCACAGGAGGCAATGTGCTGTGAGTTCTTGAAACTATACAATGTATAGTCTGGCTAAACTGCATGTGGTTCTGTATTTTTTGGTAGAGTGACTTATGGCAAGGCAGGCTCAGTTACCCCACCAGTCAACACCCTGGGAGCTATAATTTCCTCCATAGCCATCACTGTTGTAAAAGCCTCCGTAACTACCTCCACCAAATCCTCTGCTGCTGCTGTGACTGCCTCCACCACTGCGGCTGTTGCTAGCGCGGCTGCTGCTGAAGCTGGAACTGCTGGCGCCGCTACTTTGTCGATAGTCTCTGGCACCAAAGCCTCCACTAAATCTGCTCTTAGACCGCCCACGACTGCCACCCTTGTAATGGTGTTCAAAAGCCATGTTTTCTAGCCAAGACGGCACTTCTTGCTTTGCTTCAACAAGAAGATCCAATAAATCTTTGGTGATATTTATGTTCCTCTCATTGAAGAATGAGGTGGCAAGGCCAAGGTTTCCAACACGACCCGTACGGCCAATGCGATGCACATATTCTTCGATGTCACTAGGCAAGTCAAAATTGATGACGTGTTTCACGTTGGATATATCCAGTCCTCTTGCTGCTACTGCTGTAGCCACAAGAATAGGACTCTTTCCTGACCTGAACTGGTGAAGGGCCTCTTCCCGATCTCGCTGAGATCGGTCTCCATGGATACTGGTACAAGCATATCCTTCATGGTATAAGAAATCCTCCAGAGAATCTGCACCCTTTTTGGTCTCCACAAACACCAATATCAGGGAATCCTTCCCTGTTGCATTCAGGAGGTCAAGCAGAAATGACCGCTTGTCTGCTTCTTCCACCCACACGACTTTCTGTGTGATGTTCTCAGAAGTAGACCCGACTCTTCCTACGGCCAAAAAGATATATTCATCCAAGAAATCACGAGCCAGCATCTGAATTTCCTTAGGGAAAGTAGCACTAAACATCATGGTATGGCGGACACCTTTTGGAGGCATGGTGTCTTGCTCAACTATTCTTCGTATCTGAGGCTCAAAGCCCATGTCCAACATCCGATCCGCTTCATCTAACACTAAGTATTTGCAGAAATCTAGTCCGATCTTTCCTCTCTCCATCATATCCACTAGCCGTCCTGGAGTGGCTACTAACAAGTGACATCCACGTTCCAAGTCTCGAATCTGCTGACCAATATCAGCGCCACCATACACCACACAAGGACGAACTCGAGAGCGGTAGGAGAACTTCCTGGCCTCCTCATAGATCTGCACAGCCAATTCTCTGGTTGGAGCCAGGACCAAGGAGATTGGATACTGTTTGCGACGCCCATACTTCCCATTCTCCTTCACGGCCCTCAGAGCCTCGCCTGGACCATCAGTATAGATCTGACTCAAGATGGGTAAAAGAAAAGCGGCCGTTTTCCCGGACCCTGTCTGCGCACATGCCATCAAGTCTCTTTTCTCCTTGATAATAGGAATAGCATGCTTTTGCACGGGAGTTGGGCGGGTATAACGAGTGAGCTCGATGTTTCCCATAATAATTTCTCCCATCTCAACATCGCTGAAACTTTCGATATGTGGAGGGCAGTTGTTCCCTGTCGCCTCCACCGGAATGTCATCATACTTCTCAAAGTTAATCCCAGTATTGCCTCCAGAAAAGAGTTCCTGCTCCAAGCGTTCACTTGGCGGGAGTGGTTTAGACCAGTCATCTTCGTCAGACTTGTCACACCAGCGACTGTTCCCGCCCCGTTCAAATTTGCTAAAGCCGCTTCTACCTGCTCCACGGCCACCACCGCCACCAACGCACTCATAGTCACTCCGCCCGCGATCCTCAAACCTGCCCCTGGATCCGCTTCCGCGCTCCCCGAAGAAACCCGACTTGGCTCTGGCGTCGCTGCGGGACCCGAAGCTGCTGTAGGCATCCTTGTCTTTACTCCACCGTGAGCTGTCCTTGTCGTAGGAAGCTTTCGTGGCTTCCCGGTTCCGCAGGTGAGGAGGGATGTAGCGCCCTTTGCTGGCTGTGCTCCCTCCCCCTCCTCCCCCTGCTCCTCCTCCTCCGCTCTGGCCTTCGGGAGAGTTCAGGTCTAGGCCAGCCAACTGCTGGTCCAGCCCGAGCTCATCTTCCTCTGCCACATGACTCATACCTGAAGAGTACGGAGAACTGGGGTCGAGGTCCTCGCGAAGGAGGAGAACAGCACGGTGTACCTGGTGGGCAGGCTAGTTCCCTGAGACAGCAGCCGGCGCCTCGAAGGCTCCTGTCGCTCTCCGGGTCCTGCTCCAGCTAACGCTATGGCTCCCGGCCCCCTGCGGCTGCGCGCTGATGGGTAATCTCGCGAGACTTCCTGGTCGGGCCTAACGCGCCATGGGAGACGACTCGGTCAGCATACCCGGCGCCCTCGCAGACAGACGGCGACAGGACAGCACACGGTTGAGTTCATAATGGAGGTAGAGGTCCGAGGCGCCTGGAGCCCAGGACATCGATGGCTGCGCCCGGTTCTCGTGGTCTTGGCTTCCCTTGGGCTCCGCGGATACCCTGGTCTTGGGAGTTCTCCAGATCTCGCGAGAACTCTGTCCTCTAGCAGTGAGGCCTGAAAATGGACTGTAGGCCTCTTGGCCCCTGGTTGCTCCCTGCGGCCTTTGTTTATATACTTCGTCCTTCCTTTCTCTCCAGCGCGCCGCCTTTTCCCTTAGTTTCCGGGACTTCTCCGGTTTACTTAGCTCTTGCTTCTCCGACGCTGGAGTTAGGCGGAAAGAGGTCTAAGATGAAGAGGGCGGCGGGTCACGTGGCCACAGGTGTCCCGTGGAGTGGCCATTTTGGGCCGCAGGAAACGGTTGCTTGAATAGAGTGTTCCGAGTGGGGGTGGGGAAGTGGGAAAGGGCGGTTGGCGGCCGGGATGGGGTTGGGGGGAGGTCAGGGGGGCGTAAAGGATGTGTTTCCCGTGAGACCCTGGAAGGGCAGAATGCTCGGAGAGCTTGATCCTGTTCACCCGGTGGGAGAGTTGCCCAGCCCCAGCCTGGAGACTGAGCAAAGGGAGCACGAATTCCCCACCATAAACGGCATGGAAGTCAGCTTCCCTGGGTCGTGGAGCGTGGGCCCCGTTCCGCGGCTCCCTGAGGTGAAGGTGGAGGGTTCCGTGGGCATCCTGCTTGGTACGGGGCAAGGAGAGAGGGCTTGTGTATTATGAAATAATAACTCCAAAATGGGTGATTTGGGGCCAGTGGTGTTTACAGATGTGAATTTGAACGTGGGTCCCTTTGCGGGTCTAAGAAGGGTATGTTTGAAATGTGTGCTACTGATTTTTGTACGAGCTCTTAAGGACTTGAAGGGTGGTTCAGCAGTGAGGAGCCCTTGCAGCTCTTGCAAGAGGAGAGGAGTTAGTTTTCCAGCATCCATATCTTGTGGCTCACAGTGGCTGTTCACTTAGTTCCAGAGGGATCTGTGTCCCCTGCTGGTACACATGAGTACTGTATCCGAGCAGTGCACATACGGAAAAAAGCAAGCACCTATGTATACACATACATTTTAAGTGTTTTAGCAACCGCAACGGAAAAGCTCGGTATTGGCTTAGTTCGTAGTAGATTTTGTACATCTTGCTTCTGCCCTATATAAAGGTATTTAAAATAAGATCCATTTTTTTATTTTACAAAAGCTTTAGAATTTAGATAAAAATAGTATGTATAAATTTGATGTATGACATATAGATGAGAGTGGGTGAAGATATTTGGTATCATGGTTTCTCTTAAGATTTTTAATTCCACAGTGGGCAACTGAAGATGAAGTCAGTATCCTAGGGAAAGCAGAGATTAAAAAAACTTAGGAAAAAAAGGTGATTCCTTGACCCCATTAAGTCTGGGGTCTGTCTAACCTTTGGACCTCTGAACTCCATGAACTATTAGGTCCTGTTTTATCTCTATGCCATTTTAAAATATATTTTTAAAGTTGCTGAGAACAGAAAGATCTTAACTGACACCAGCATGGACTACTAAGTCACCAAACCAGATTTAGTCAGAATTTTTCAGCATACGAAGGAAATAGTGACAATTAAAAATGGAGCATGTTTACAATAACCCTGAAGATCAGGGAGAGGCCCCCGAGAGTCTTTTGACGATATTAGATGAGTAACTTCATTTTGAATGCCCTTGCACTATTACTAATATTAGTGCCATGTACCTTCACTAGTTAAAAGGGCCTTTCATGATCTTTTTTTTTTGATCTTTTTTTTTTGATCTTTCATGATCAAAGATTTGATTTGATTTGCCTTACATTGTTCAAAATCAAATTTTTAAAAATTTTTCCAAATAAGTTAGGAGCTTCCCGATATCAGTGTTCTGCTCCTCCCCTCCGCTTCATTATGGAGGTGTTGGGGTCCCTTGTCTGTCATTAGGTTGTAAAACACCATGAGTTCTGTCTTGCTGAACTCTTAACTCTGCAACATGAGAAAAACCCGAGCTATAAAATATAATCTGAAAGGAATCATAAAAATATGCCATGTTCTGAATTCTAAACCATAATGAACTAAAAGTGACAACAATGCCTGTTTGACTTTCTGCCAACTCATTCTTAATCTGCCAGTGAAAATCTCACCTCCATAACGTAAGTCAGGATCTCCCTCCCTGCACTCCAACTAACATTTTATTGATTCTCTGGGAATTTCACATAATGCACCCCCAATCATACTCACTTCCCAATTCTTCCATGTCTGCTCCTCCCCTTGTCACCCCCTCCAAAAAAGGTAAAATAAAGATAAGAAAAAAAATCCAGTTTGTATTATCTATATAGTCACTGAGCAATCTTGGTGGCCAGCACCTTAAATAGAACTGAGTCCTGCTGCTCCCACACCCCCACCAGAAGCCATTACTTGTGAGCTCTGTGCTTCAGCTTCTCGATCACACTTTCTTAGATCTCTTTGATGGCTTCTTGTCTAGGCCATTACTTTTGGGGGGGGGTGTCATAGGACTTATCACGGAAACCATCCATGTCCCTCCCTCTCATTTCTGCATCAGAGTCACCAATATCACGGCATGAGTAGCCACCTCGTCTGAATGGTCTGTGCTACCATCTGAGGTCAGTATGAAGTCCACGTCTGTGCTGCTGGTGAGGGCCATGTCTAGGTCTGTTGTACTGTGACCAGAGTCAGTGTTGATGTCTGTGGCCCACATTGCCACTGAAAGAAGGCTATGCAGATGTCTGTAGTCTGTGCTGCAGCCAGGATCTACTTTCGATTGTGCCTTCAGAACGTGTCGAGTACAGACCAAGTACAAAGCATATACGTGGCCTGTGCTTCTTCTTGTCTGCTTCCTTTTCTTGCTTCTCTGGACCATCCCCACCCACAATGCGTTTGAGTCAGTCTGTCCCCACACTTGGCTGTCTCTCAATTCTGAACTTGGGAAAGAGTTTAAAGGGGAGATGCCCTGACAAGGAGATCTGCTTGTCTCCAAGCCCGGCTGTGCCTGCCTTTAATTAAAAATGGTATTGATTTTTCCCTGCTTAATGATAGGCACTAGTCTGCCCTCCTGATGTTCGCCACTGACAGCTTAAGTATGAAACAAAGGGCACTTATTCAGCACTTAATGCAAAATTATGACTGATTAAAAAGTGATTTATCATGAGAACTACATCTGTAGAGGATATGTGTGTGTGCGCATGTGCGTGTGTGATGCTTCCCGTACCAAGAGTTTGGAAGGCGCAGCAGGATGACAGAATAATTCTCTCTTTTTATAATCCAGTTCTCCTCATTCAGCTCTTCTTCCCTTGTTTCTATACAAAATGGGAAACACAATTTTCCGCTGAATTCAGGACCACAGAACACAGGAAGAGAATTATAGAAGTTACTCTGACAGCATCCCCCTAAGATCTATTGTTAGGATGCCCTGAGGACTCTGGGAAGGGAAACAGCCTTAATTTTCCTAGAATTCCATTCTGGGGTCTTCCCATGTTTTGCTCTCTTCTGCTATTTCCCATGATGGTTGAGGCTCTGAAAGTGGCACAGCACCCTGCATGAGAAAGTGTGACTAAAGGATTTAGAAAGAAGATACAAAAGCCTGGGGGAAGTCAAGCTGCATAGTACAGTCAGCTTCTAGTAAGGAACAACAGAACAAAACAAACGAACTCCTGTACTATCTGTATCATTTTCACACCACAGAAAATCAAAGAAAACACATCTTTCATACAGGCTAACAAAGTAAAAAATTCTTACTTTCTTATTTCACAACTGACTTCTCAGAAACGATTTAAGCAAGAAGAGAACAGAATAAGTAGTAGGTAGTTTTAAAAAAATGTTTTTCAATGCTGGAGTGTGAACCCAAGGACTTTAAACATGCTAAAACAGTACCATATTTCCATCTTTAAATATTTAAAATATTAAGAGTAAAAAGCAGCCACATGAAATGGGACTTGAAATGTAAAGAGGAAAAACTAGAGACTACTCAAACAAAAATTGAGGGAATTCGTGAAAGAATTTTTACAAGAAAAATTGATGTGTCACAAACTTAGATCTAGAGGCTGGAGAGAGCTCAGTGATTCAGAGTACTTCTCTTGCAGAGGACCTGTGTTCAGTTCCCAGCACCCATATGGATGCTCTCAACTTCCTGTAACTCTAGTTCCAGGGTACCCTATGCCTTCTGGCTTTTGGGGACACTGCGCACATGGCACACACCTACAATCACAGACACATAAAGTAAGGGAATCTTTCAAAGAAGAAATGAAGATTTAAAAAACTTTATTCTTAAGTGAGCCAACTGACAGTAGTTTGCATAAATAACCATAGCAATAAAGCATTTGATTATGTAGCTCCATACCATCCCCCACTATTATGCTAATGTTCAAATTCCTGATAGACTAATTATATGCAGAATGTCTAGAACGTATATTCTGAGGGTTTAAGTACACACACACACACACCGAGAGAGAGAGAGAGAGAGAGAGAGAGAGAGAGAGAGAGAGAGCGCACCAGTAGAGTCTTTATCTATGGAATGCCCTTCACAGATGTCCCTGATTTAGTATTGTGTATATATAATATAGAGATAATTCTACATGTAATATAGAGACATTTAATGTATGGGTCCCTGGAGATTGTTGCCTAAGTTGTACAAATACCCAAAGAACTAAACAAAGGTATCCTATAAGGAAAGTACACTCCAGTGCATGAAATGGCAATGACACATGGACCTGAGCAATAATTCTTACCCCAAAATGCATGTTTGGTGCCAGATGGGAGTGACTATGGGTCTGGTGAGTCACAGGCCTTGCCATGCTCTGGTTTTTGTTCTTGATGACTTGTGTGCTTGAAACTCTGATAGAGCTTCATCCTGAGGGTTGCTTAGGTGTAGTTGGAAGGCCGCTTGTTTGTTTCCAGCTGCCCAGACCACAAAATAATCACACAGAAACTATGTTATTTGCGATACTGTTTGGCCAATAGCTTAAGCATATTGCTAGCTAGCTCTTATATCTTTGGTTACCCCATTTCTATTAATCTGTGTATTGTCCACAGCGGTAGCCACATGACATCGCACAACTCTGCCTTCTTTCTCCCAACATTCACTTTAGTGTGTGTCTCCCTCACCTCCTGCCTGCTGCCTAGCTCTACTCTGCCCTGTCAAAGGCCAATGCAGCTTCTTTATTCATTAACCAGTAAAAGCAACACATATACAGAAGGATTTACCACACCACTTAGGTCAAAGGATTAGGTCAGTTGTCAAATGGGGTTTATGTAAAATAATGCAACTTTTAATTTACATTTTTACACATATATCTCTGTGATTCATATGAAAGGGACAAGAGTGACTGGCTTGAACATAAGAACATCTTATGACTCTGTAATAACTTATTC